GTTACTTGAGAGACCCCCTGGGATTGGCCCGTAACACTTGTGCTGGAAGAGGAGGCATGCTGTGGGTCCCATCAATGCAATGATTCTGGCTGGTGGGGTCCAAGCGAAGGCCTTCTCTGTTTTGCTCCTGTTCTCATCTTGCCCCTCCCCATGTGAGATTGGCTCCAACTCTCCTATCTTTTCATACAGCCTAAAGACATGGCTGTGCCAGTTGGCTTAGAGCCCCAGTGGGGAATAGCGCAATGGAGGTGGTTAATTGAGTAACAACAGATCCCACCTTCGCCTCTCCCTGCCCCTCCCCATGTATCTTTGGTTTTAAGGTTTGTTCTTTTTATTTTTTAACTATATATGTAATTGTAAGCCGCTCAGAATTACCCTATGGTAAGATGGGTGGGCAATATATTTTATAAATAAATAAAATTAATTACATAAACTTGTATGAGTTAGCGATATATCTGGATCTTACGTTTTCACTTAATTCTATAATATTTATTTATATATTATAATAATAATATATATTACTATATAATAATTATATAATAGTATTAATACTTAATATTATACTCTTTTTGGTATAAACCATTCCTTAAAAAGTTCAGTTTACACATTTTCACATGGCATTGTTTGGGGTTTATTTATGATAAGGGGATTTTGAAGGTTGGACACTAGAGAGAACTAGAAGGTAAAGAAATGAATGAAGCAGAAATCTATAATAAAAGGTTTTGAATATTGGTCTGCCAAATTTAAAATAAATTTATTGGTGAGAAGGATATAGCATATTTAATGAAATTACAGGTCAAGAACAAGTTCCAATGGATAATTTTGAAATTATTTTGAAGGGGGATTTAAATGTGACAAGCAATGAGAAGATGAAAAGAAACTTAACTCTAGGACCCTTTTTGAAGGGGTTAAACATTAAGATTCTTAAAAATTCAGGGAAGAAATACAAGGTTGGGTTATTTGATTGGGGCTAAAAGAAACAATTATATGTGATTGCTTTTACTGGACTTTTTTTTTTTTTTTGCCGACAAAGGACTGACAAAGCATAAGCTTTATTTAAGCTTACTTAAATAAGATATGGGATGAAGAGACTGTATTTACAGATAGTGATAAACCTTAGAAAATTGCCTTTACTTGCTGGGATAAAGGGGGAAGTTAGTTGCTTTTCCCCCCTTTTCCTTTTGTTCTTTTTCTCAGAGACCCTTCCCATCCTGCTTACAATCTTTTTGGACTGTTGTCTTCTGGCAGAAGATACAGAACAATTAAAACTCAGACCACACGTTTTCTGAATAGTTTTTATCCCAGAGCTATAATTGCACTCAACAACGAACTAAAGGGCCACCATCAGTGAACTGTTGGACAGCATTACTTGATCTGTTGTGTGGATGTTTGGGTGGTTTAGGGGTGGGGAATTGTGGTGGGTGGGAATGTGTTTGGGGATTGTTATGTTGGACCTGGTCTTTGGGTGTTAATTTTGTTGTATGAGTGTACTGTGTATACATGTACAATGACAATAAAGTTATTATTATTTTCTGTTTTTTCACTTTTTTTGTATTTCCAGGTTGCATTTGATTCTTTTCATTAGTAATTTTTAGTAAAATCATTGGGGGGGGGAATCTTATCTTTGTTCCCACTCTCATTTGACAGATGTTAAGAACTGAATTCACTTCACTGAAGCTTTTATGGATAAAGAACAAGCTATTCAGAGATCATATCAATTCCTATGCTGTGTAACAATAATAAACAGAGCTCAAATGGGGTGGGGGGGGGAACCCTAGATTCAAATCCAAGAGTTATTGTGCCAATTTATTTTCTCTGTCTTTAGCTACAATACAACTGCATTTCAGAGTTCAACAGCAGGTGGCAATATTTGGCTCAGTTTATCTGAATTTAAAATTTAGTTCTTGATGGGAGACACTCCAGGGAATTCCATAGCTGACAGCTAGTTTGGGAAGATAAAGGGAAAAAATCCCAGAAGGCCATGGCAAATCATTTCTTATACTGCTGCCAAGAAAACAGCAGGTATCTGCCCACAAGGCTCCCAGGAGCCAAGCCTGACTCAAAGGAATCTTTTTATGCCATACCGTCAATGGTTGAAACTCACATCTGGATAAGGTTAACTAGCAACATGAAAGCTTCAATGAGAAGAGGGGAAAAAAATCTCAGGAGCAGTAGCATTAAAATTCCATGAACTTGGGCGGCTTTGGGAAGGTCAGTATTTCCTAGCTTAACTTCACCTCTTTAATGAGAATTCAATGCCTTCCTTTACATTTAAGGTTTACATTTGCAACAGGAGGATGCACTTTCTTGCAATGGCAAGTAACAGACACCAATCTTTTGCCAATTTCTCAAAATGCTCATGTAACTTTTGTGTATTTTGAAACCAGTCATTAGTTAAAATGACATCAAAGGCAAATAACATAGCCCAGGTCCTTCCTAAGGGTTGTCCCATACCAAAAATATATATTTCTTCCCCATCATTTTGTTTTAGAGCAAAATATCTGTTCTATCCCATTGACTGCTAGGCTCAACATACATCACTTGATTTAGACTTCAGTCTGCCCCACCAATTCTATTTAAGTCAGTTAGTGGTTTCTCATCAGGTGTTGACACACTGAAATCCAGGCACACCCACATTAGTAGACCCTGACTAAGTTTAAGCCAATAAGTAGAACAAATGGAAACAAGGAGTTTTGGAAACCCCGGCAAAAAATCCCCACTATGATCAGGAATGGAATCTCTCTATCTCTTCCTCCCCACTTGCAGCTTGCTTTTCTATTCCTCAAACTATAATCGGAGCAGAAGCAGAAGTGGTCTGAAGAAGATGCTCAAAGGAAGTGGTTACTGGAGTAGAGGGAGGAAAGAATAAATGAATTGAAGGGAGAAGGAAATATCAGGCAAAACAAGCCAGTAGAAAAGCAGATTAAAAAAAAAGTTTAGCAGATCTAATCCATATTAAAACGCCTTTACATACACTTACAATTTAGACTTAGAACTGGTTTGTAGACTCAGATGTTGGGAGAAGGGGAACCATATTATATTGTTGCAACATCTGGAGATGGTTTCACAGCATATCATTTCTCAAGCCTTCCCTATGATGTGTTGGACTTCCAACTTCTACAGTTAGTCCTTGATTTACAACAGTTTGCTTAGTGACAGTTCAAAGTTACAAGGGCACTGAGAAAAGCGACTTATGACCATTTTTCACCCTTATGGTTGTTGCACCATCCCCATGGTCATGTGATTTACATTCGGATGATAGACAACTGACTCACATTTATGACGGTTGCAGTGTCCCAGGGTCATGTGATCCCTTTTGGAAACCTTCTGACAAGCAACATCAATGGGGAAACCAGATTCACTTAAGAACCTTGTTATTAATTTAACAACTGCAGTGATTCACTTAACAAATTTGCCACTTAGCAACATAAATTTTGGGCTCAATTGTGGTCATATGTTGGAGACATAATTCCCAGCCAGCAGGCCAGACAGAATGGAGATTGTGCAGAGTAGTCACCAGATATTAAGCTTTGTCCCACACAGGTAGGAAAAAGATGTTTTGACTGACAGCAACAAGTCAGTTACTCTTCCTCCCAAGAGAATATATATATATATATATATATATCCCTGGAAAAGACAGAAAGCTTCTATTGTGGTGTAAAGGGGGAGGATGCAGATGGTGCCTAGGAACCGATCTGATTTTCTCCCTGCCTGCTGCTTTTGTGGCCTAATTCTCCAAAGCACCTGGTGCGTTTTCCCCGAAAGCTGCAGCAAAATCTTCCCAAACAAAAGCCGCATGAAAAGAGGCAACTTGCTCCCTCATAGGCTCGCTTCTACTTTCCTTCCTGGCTCTATCTATCGCATGCACATAAGGATGAGGGGGGAGTGACTGCAGCATCGCGGACCAACATCATCCCGATCACACCATCCAGAGTGGAAACAGCAACAAAGAAGCACCCAGCCTTCTTTTCTCTTCTCCGTGCCATCTTGCTGTAGATACCTGGGCCTTATTTACGCACGCAGCACCAACAGATCCATGCAGGCTCACCTCGGGATCGGGAGGGGAAAAAAATAAAACCAAGGCCACGACCTTCCGCTGACAACCCCCCCCCCCCCAAAAAAAACCCCATCTTGTCCTCCTCCTTTTCCCTACTGACATTGGGAAGGAAATCCCAGAAACCCGGAACGAAATGCAGCAAAGTAGCCAAGGTGGGTTTTGAGAGCGGGAGGAGCCGAGGAAGGCAACTGCGTCCGACCCAGCGGGGGAGAAAAGCGAGTCCCACCAAAAAAAAACCGGGAGAAACGCAGCGGGGAGACGAGGTAGCCGTCGATCCTGCCGCAGGGCTCCGCAAAGGGGACTGAAGCAGACGCGTAGAGGGCGAGAGAGCCCGCGCCCCCGGCTCGCCCCCACCTCTGCGTGCGAGTGCCTGCACCAGATCGCCCGGAATCCCGGGCAGCAACAACGCCGCCGCTTCCATTGTTCTAGGGCAAAGGCAGAGAGGGAGGGAACAAGCAAGCAAGCCCAGGCGCAGATCTCTCCCGTGTAAACAGATTCCGAGTTGGGGAAGGGAGCCCTCGGGAAAACACGGGAAAGCCATTCCCCACACCACCACAAGGATTCCTCGGGGGTGACCCAGCTTCCCTTTGTGTAAACAGGATTTTGGAGTTGTTGTTATCGCTGTGGGTGGGTGGGTGGGTGGATGGGGGTGGGGACAGGGGGAAGGAAAGCGATATTGCAATGGAACTCGGAGTAACAACCAGGTGGCTTACCCGGCGTCCAAGGTAGAGTCCCTCCGCTTCGCCCCGCAGCCTCCGCTTCCCTCCGCTCCTCCAGCGCACTCAGCTCTACTTAACTACGTTCCCCTTTTTCTTAAATGAAGACGCCTTTCGCCTCCTTGGATTGGCTCGCGCCTCCCTGCTCCAGGGCTAGGCTAAAAGAACAAGGAGGGAGGGAGGGGACAGGGAGCGAGCGAAGGAGGCGTGGCTTTCTGCCCGGTGCCGGCGAAAAGAGTCTCGCCTTCTACGCATGTGCGTCCTTTCCTCCCCTTCTCCTGGAAAGGCTGTTTTGCGCCTGCGTGGTCGGAAGAACCTCTGGCCCGGAGACCGTGTGAGTGATGGGGGGGGGGGGGGGGGGAGGGGGGGGGGGGGGGGGGCGTTTTGGGTGGGAGCGGCTCCCTGTTTTACTCGCGGCTTCGAGCCGGAGGGCCGGCATAAATTTAAAACGAGGACGGGGGCTTCGTGCTAGTGATGGGGGGCAAAAAAAGAGAAGAAATTAAGCCATGCAGCGCGGTCGTATCCTTGGAAGGAAAGCCCACGAGTTGTGCGAGGCTCGCTCCTAGCCCCTGCAAATGATTTTAGCCATTGCAGCCTTAATCTCGAGAAGGCCTCCTTTGCACCACGATCTTGAGTACCATTCGGGCGCTTGGAAAAACAGGGCGATCGGCTTGAATAGCATCGCAGCCTTTCAGTGCGATTTTAAACGATCGATCTTACAAATAAGGCATTTATGCAACTTACTCGTGCGGAAGTGCCTTTGCGATTTCGAATATAAACCTCCTAGAAGATCCAGAAGGCTGGGATCTTGTCTTTGTTTGCTAGACAGTAAATCCCGAGATCAACAGATTTTCGAAATAAGGCTACAATCCTGTATTGTAGTCTATTCAATTCAGGGGCATTAAACCAGCTCAGGCTTGAGGGTCTCCCTTCCGTCAGTGTTTCGGGATTGCAGCAGTTTCTATCCTTTATTGGAAACAAAAGCCTATCAAGTTTCATGGAGGTTTCTCCCAAATAAATGTGTAGAGGAAATTTGCAGATCGGGCAAAAAGTAATAATGCTTTATTTTAAAATCTGGAATTTGGAGATCTATAGCATAGGCAACTCTCTCTTTATATCCTGATAACATTTTCCACCTTGGTATCTTTTTTTTTTTTTTTTTTTGAAGACCTTAATATACTAATTCCAGTTCCCGGGCTTGAAGTTGTTGCAAAGCTAATCTGGATCCTGTAGCAAGCACATTTAGTATCTGCTTTGGCTGTAGGATGACCTATTACCCATTTTAAAATGATTCACAAAAGAAGATGGATGGGAAACTTTCTCTCTTTCTTTCTGGTCCAGGATTGTAGATTAGACACCCATGATCAATGGTTTTATCAGAAAGAGGCAACAAAGAGAAATAAGGCACCAAGTGACAATTATACCTGGAGAGCCAAAAGTAGCTGATCAAACATGAAGGACAAAGAACCTGTCTGGGTTTTTTTTTTTCCTTCTTAAAGCTATAGTAACAAAAGTAGCAAAATTAATAAAAACAGAATATCAAATTTTGGTAACAATATTCTTCTGGATACCTTAAGCATGATCATCACATGTATCCAATATGAGATGAAATAATAATGTTAATGACTTCATAGCTCTTGCTAAGATTTCATCTGCATGCTTCCGTTTTAAAGTTCTAACAGATAGGGCATTACCCATGTTTTCTTTCTTTAAAATTGGGATAGCAGGAGAGGCAGTTTAGCAAAGTATGAAAAGTTGTAGCTTTTTCCTTATATGTACCTGCTTTATGTTTCATGGGAGGAGGGAAAAGGTAAAGATAAGGAAAATAGAAATAAGAAAACAAATGTCCAGGTAAAGGAAAACTGTAGGTTGGATTAAGGTTTGCTGGCATCAAATCTAATAGCAACTAATGATTTCCCTTTTTAACTCTAAACAAAAAATTGGTAAGAAACTCTCCCTTTCTTTCACTAGCTTCTAACATGCATTAAATGTAGCCTAACAATTAATTGTTACGTACATTTAACATGAAAAGTACAGGTAGCCCTCATTTTGCATCCTTCTGCCATTAAAATGGTGATGAAAAAAGTAACTTTACAACCAATTCTTCACAGGTTTGTAAAGCAAAGGAAAGCTGAAGTAAGATAAGTGCAGTTGTTGCTTCACTTAGTGACTTAGTGTTGTTTCACTTTGCTTAATGAACAAATTTCTAACTATCCTAATTGTGGTTACTAAATGAGGACTATTGTAGAAAACAATTATACAGTCTCAGTGATGTCTACAATTTCAAAGAGTCAAAGAGGCCCAGTGTTTAGATTTACTTTGTGGGTATCCATTTCTCTCTCTCAAGACAACAGAGTTGGGGTAGGGTCTCCCCTAATTTTACTCCCACAATAACAACCAATCCTGTGACAGAAATAGAACCCAGGGGAGGGAGGCAAATCCTGCCATGATTGTGTCTTGGGAGTGAGATAACTGAAATGGATCAGCTTTTGGGTAACCAGTCTCTTACTTGTAGGAGACAGCAATAATTGAATCTGACAAACACGGGAATGGATGAATAAGCAATGGAAGCAAGATCCATATCCAATTGCAGTGAAGGGGCTTTTACATATTAAAGTAGAAATAGATTTCAAAATGGGCTAGCCCCTTAACATAACCCCCTTCTTCCCTGAATAGTGGAGGGTAACTCTCCTTTTGGAAAGTTTGGAGAGAAGTTAGTGTTAAAAATGGGAGGCATGTAAGAAAAGAGTCTAGGAGACATTGTGCTCATGGGGATTAAAAAGCCTACAGTGGAGGCTATAATATTCTTCAGTCAAGAGAAATCAGGAGAAATTAGAAATATGTACAGCTTGGACGACAGAAGGAAAAAGGTAGGACACAAAACCTTTAAATGTATTAAGGATGTGAATAAGGTTCTAGAAGGCAGTACCTTCAATATTAAGCAAAAATCAAGAACATTGAGGCGTAATCTCAAACTGACAGGAGGGATGCACAAAAGCAGGGTGGATTTGATTTAAATCGAGTTGATTTAAATCACAATTTAAATCATGATTTAAATCACTAGTAAAAAGGCTTGATTTAAATCGACTCGATTTAAATCATAATTTTTAAAGAGCAACTGTCATCTCTGCTACTCCTTTGACCCACTGTTGACTCACCGATAGTCCCAGTGTTGCAGAATATACAGCCTCATGCTACATAACTAAGCTCCATTTCATGCTGAATAAACTAAATTATTTATGTATCTTAAATAGAAAACTATATTACGATAGATTTTTACCCCAAAAGTTTTTTATTAAAATAAATTCGATAAAAATAAAAAAAATCCGATTTAAATAAAAAAAATGTGATTTTTTTGATTTTTTTTAAAAAAATCATTGATTTTTATCCACCCTGCACAAAAGTAGTGCTAGAGAGTATTGACAGAAAGAGTAGTGGAAGCTTGGAGCCAACTTCCAGTGGAGTTAGTGGGTCAGTCATCAGTAACTGACTTTAAACAACTTGGGATAAACTCACGTCTATCGTCTGAAAAAAACTAATAAATAAAAAAACAATAACTTGGGAAGGTAGGTAATTAAAAATGCCAAAACCAGTCTGAACATTTGATTGTGTAATAAATCATCATAATGAAAAATAAAAGAAAAATATCAATAATTATTTTTTTAAAAAAAACCTCAAGGGGCAGATTCTGTGTTTCTTACAGTTGCAACTCTTACAGTTGCTCACTTGATTTCTCCTCTAAGAAAATGGGTAACAAAGTCTAACTAGTGTTATATACTCTGAAGCTATTATTTAGTGATGTTGAAATAAGGGAGCAATACTCTGCTTAGATCAGTACAGCTAATCTAAAGATTGCTTTGTTCATGAGTTGGGTTGATATAAGGGCAATATATCAGCTGGCCAAGGAGGAAATGGATGTTGTGGAGAAGTGCAGGTGGGCAGGGCCTTTAAGTGACATGCTTAAGTGAGTTATGAGGATTCCAGCCAATGAGCTGGTAGTGACAGAAGCCTTGTGAGCTATATGACAGTGGACATTTTGTCCCCAAATCTCCCCTCACCCCTGCAGAATCCTTCAAACTTTGCTGAGATCCAGAGGTGTTGTTTTTATGTCAAACAATTCTAGGTTAAAAATAATATTTGGTCTTGGCTGCCTGGATCTAAAGCTGAGATTGCGGCTTGGCAGAAGCCCTCAGTGTTTCTAGAGGAGAGATTAAAATGAGCCAGAGCCTTGAAAAGTTGTCTGTCTGAAAGATAATTTCTCACTCTGCAATTTGAGGAAGCAATTGGGTTGCATATTGTTGTTGCAGAACAAATTGATAGCTTGGATTAATTTTAGGTTAATGTTACTTAAGGGCTATCCAAGGGAACCGCCAACCGAGGTCTTTCACTTTGACCTGGAAACAATCTCTTGCCACGTTGCTGTGCTATCTGCTGTGCGTGTGAATACCGCATTTGCAGGGTACAATCCTAGATTTATAAATACAAAATGTATTTCCTGTCTGAAGTTTCCGTTGTTTGTGTGATAGTTTAGGACTCTAGGCAGTTGTGCTTTTGATTTCATCATATGCCACAGGACTTGTGTAGCACGTCAGATCTGAAGGGAGAAGAAGGCATTGTATAGCACCTGTCCACAATTCCTTAAAGCAGCTGAGTCTTATCCCAGGCTCTCCAGACAACCTTCCACAACTGCAGCATAAACTCAGGAAATGATGCACTTTATTTAAGGCTGTAGTTTTCAAACTTGGCAACTGTGTGGATAACTCCCAGAATTCCCCATCCAGCTGGCTTCCCTTTGAATCCAAAGTGCTACTATGCAATCTGTTATATGCAATTACATTTCTTCAAGGATAGGTTGTTTGATCTTGTGCAGGCTTTTGTCAGCTGCAGTAGGGATTTTTTCCCTAAGTGGTTCTTACCAGTAATTCTATGAAGGATTCTGAAGAAGGATTTAGAAGAGTGGAAAAGAAATAGTGAATCAACAAAAACTCCTTCCTAGGTTTTGCTAGATCAAAGATTCTCAGCGGAGAACACAACCTGATTTATTAATTAGGGCTGTTTCAAAAGCATTTGTTTAAATTTGGTCAATAAGCTTTTTGGTCAGTTAAAAATGTTCCTCTGAATAAGTGGGTAGCAGATTAAAACTATGAAAGCATTTAATGAATCTAGATGGAACTGGTGCCTTCTTAGAAGAGATTGTTTACTGTGTCCTCAGAGACAATATGCTCTAATATATGTGCACATCTTTAATAAGAAAATATGGACTATTCAAGAATATTTAATAACAAGTGCCTATGATATTTCTTTAATAAATTGTCATTTTCTTTGGAAATATGACCTGAGGCTTTACAGGTAATCTTAGACTTACAACAATTCATTTAGTGACTCTTTGAAGTCACAACGGCATTAAAAAAGTGACTTATGGCCATTTTTCACACTTATGACTGATGCTGCATCCCCATGGTCGTAATCAAAATTCAGACACTTGGCAATTGAGTCATATTGAGAGTCCCGTGATCATGTGATGGCTTTTTGTGACCTTCTGACAAGTAAAGTCAATTGGGAAGCCAGATTCACTTAACAGTGGAATTACTGACTTTAATAACTGCAGTGATTCACTTAACTATGGCAAGAAATGTCATAATAAATGTCTCCGTTTTGGGCTCAGTTGTGCTTGTAAGTTGAGAACTGTCCGTATTCACACTTGCGTCAAACTCTCAAGTCAAGGAATCCCCTTTGGATGGTGGACCTTGTACTTTGTCATTGGTCTGTGTGTGTCCATCAGATACCTTCTCCTATACATATATTCGTATGATTTGAATTGTGTATAAATAATTAACAGTTCCCTTCTCTTTTCCCTCACATAATGAAAACAGTAGAAAAGAAGATAAAAATTAAAAAAAAACCCTAAGTCTTAGCTTGTCACATACGGTATATGTTAGAAAATTAAACTCAAAGTTACTATCGTATCAATGTTTACAAAATCAACCTCCTCATCTCTGAAGTGGCCTAGATATTAACCTGTCTTGATACAACTTTGTGACTCTCTTCTCCCAATACTTTCAAACAGAATTTTTTGTGGCATTTATCACTGTTATCAATGCATCTGAAATTAATTAGACTTCTGCAGGCTTTTAATTCAGTCAGTGAATTAAAGTTGGTTTCAAGTACCGATTTTATTTTTTTCTGTTGTCAATGTGATTGACTAATTGCAACCAGATTGCAAATAGATGTAAAGAAATTTAATGGGAATCTGTGGTTCTGTTTCCATTTACAATATATTTCAGAGGCAGCATGGGTAAGGCTGTTAGAAACTTAATGGAGAGACATTTGAGTTTTAAGTTACGTTATTTTCAGTTTAATTACACGTTACTTAGATCAGTGATGGCTAACCTTTTTGCCGTCGTGTGCCAAAAGCAGGGGGAGCTGTGAGAGGGTCGTGCGCACACATGCCCAAATCCATAACTCAATGTGCCCCACCCCGTCCCCCATGTATGCACGCATGACCCCCCCCCACACTTTTGGCACGCAATGGCACGGTGGGCCCAGTAGGCCTTCCCTAGGCTCCAGAGGCTTTCTAGGAGCCTGGGGAGGGCGAAAACGGCCTTCCACACCCTTCTGGAGGCCCTCTGGAGGCTGGAAGCAGCTTGTTTTCCGACTTCCGGTGCGACCGGAAGGCCTCAAAATCAGCTGGCCGGTGCGCGCATGCGCACTGGAGCTGAGTTAGCACAATGCGTGCCATAGGTTCGCCATCACAGACTTAGACATATAAAAATAACTCATTGCTTTGCTATAATAACATTACTTTAATGCAGAATATTATTCAATCGATTTTTCAAAGCTAAACTCTTGTACACTCTTATATTCTCAAAAAAGCATACATAAGACTTTAGCAATTAGAAACAGTTGTAACATTGGTCAGAACATAATGTGTACATTTTTCAAAACATCTGAGCTACATCCTTTGCATTGTGGAATGTTATGAATGATTGAGAAACAGGAAGGATCTGTCTTTCCCAATATCTTTAATATATTAAAAAAGGTTTGTTCTACGATTCTCAAGAAACAACCGGAAGCGCACAAAGAACAAACTGAAGCAGTGTATCTAATATTTGTGATCAGATCTGCCACATGTCCACTTAATATACGGTACTTAAGGTTTAAGATCCAACAGTTATTAAAACTTACATTTAAAAAACTGATATGGGGGACAATCCTGTTTCTTTGCCCATGAAATCCTAAGGAAGATTTGAAAATTAAAGAACATTTATTGAAATTGGTCTAATTTGCTCCAATAACCCAAGAAATTTGATATACTTCTTCCACTCAGACTTTATGGCCATTTTTTGACTCCCTCCCTTCCTCGTGCTTATGTTCAAAACTTGAACTTTTGGCAGCTTAGTTAGGACAACTCTAGGTCAATTCATAATTATTACTTCCTTAATATATAAGAAATGCTGATGGATTGGATTTGTTTTATTTATTTAATTTTTTGAGGGAAACTTAAATGGGAAAGGCTATTTTTGAAACTTGTAATGTATTTATAATGTATAAAACTAAACAATTATATTTTAAATTTCCACACTAGGTCCTTTCCAGAACTTAATGTCAGTGCATACATAGTGAATTATTCAATGTAGATGGATTTTGTAAATTAAATTTCCCTTTCATTGTGGGTTTCACATAATATGAAAAGAGACCTTCCTCCAAACAGCTTGGACTGGAAATAGTTCATTCGGTGAACAATAATCCAAAATCTCTGATTAAACAGTCTTTTATGGGGAAGGTCACAATGACAACACAATAATTCCCATGAATATTCCACCTTCAAATGAAATGCCTCTATGTAGGCAGTTACGGTGGTAACATCATTTGTTGTCTTTCACTCTTTCTTTGTAGATGATTGAACAGGTGAGGCCAGTTTCATTTGTTCACTGTTGAGGTAACTATTAGTCATCCTATCTGTGAGAAAGAATTCTCCTGGAGACAACAGTCCTCCAGGAGAATTCTGGTTGCATGGGATAGAGTTGCATGGGATAGAGAGGATCTATGAAATATTCTGGGGGAAGGTGTTCTTTAGGTCAGGGGTCTCCAACCTTGGCCACTTTAAGACTTGTGGACTTCAACTCCCAGAACTCTGGGAGTTGAAGTCCACAAGTCTTAAAGTGACCAAGGTTGGAGACCCCTGCTTTAGGTGACTTAAGTTGACACATGGTGTAGCAGTGATTGTTAATTTTTTTCCTTCAGTATCCAAAACTCCTTTATATAAAGTCCTTATTTAAATGTCCACATTAATGTTGGGACATTCTGGGACATTATTTGTTTGTCAAATACACCCCCCAGAACCCCCACTTGTACCCAAGTTTGGGTAATTCACCCAACTTTGGGAAGCATTGTAATATATCAGTCCACATTCTCATGGGTTTTTGAGAATCCTGGTGCAAGGTTTCAGAAGCTCCTCCAGTTGAGAAAATCAAGGTGCTTCAAATTCTTGTTAGATGTTTGAGAGGAAGCATGAAATATTCTGGTGCCAGAGCAGTTGATATGTTAAAAAAAAGGTATGGTAATTGCATACTATTTTTTATGTCAAGATAAAATATTTTTAGAAGGATCTCAGCTAGAGAGTAAACTTATACAAATTAGTCTTTGTGTCAATGTGTTAATCTACATAATTTGGAGGACTCGAAGGCTTTGTTGGAATCCAGCTTTCCTTACATGAAGCCTGCATGAAATTATTGAGGATATTAAATGTTGTACTTAATAGACTGGTGTTGTAACACTGACTTCTGTTGGCATATTAGGGACATCTCTGGAGGGACACACAAGGATTTCCAGTGTATTTTTGTTATTTACAAATACCTGAACATAATTGGGGGACAGGGTTTTTCTTGAGCAACTGACAGATGATTGCAAAGATAATATGAATGTGGAAGTGAGGAGACCTTGCAGAAAGGATTAAGAGATTGCGGAGGTTTTGTCTATATTTGTTGAATTGTCATCTTTGCTAATCTTGTGATTTTGCTTCCAAACTGGCCGACTTTACAATCTAGCTATGACAGTCCTGTTTTAAATGATTTGTGGGTTTTGCAGGTAAGGAAAGGATTGATCCTTCCATCTTGCCTGTAGGTCTTACTTCCTCAAATTTGCCTTAAGAGATGAAAGTCCTAAGTAGTTTTCCAAATATCTGTCTGCATACTTAAATAAATAGCTTCTTTCCATTCTTTAGGCAGTTTAGTTTGAATTCAGAGTGTTCCCAAATAATTCCTAGTAGATAAAGGGAATGAGATAAAATAACAATTTTTGATTCAGAATGTTCAGGTGATTTCCTTTTATGCTGATGTAAATGGTTGATTATAAGAGGTTAAGCAACTGAAATTATGGCTTAAAGTTAGAAAATAATTGTGTGTTTAATGTTTCTAGTCATGAAAACTATGCCACTAGTAACGAGAATAGTCTTGTGTCAAAACTCACTTTTCAACATATCAGCTTTATATTCCGAATACAAATTAGTTCTTGGTGTAGCAGTTATTTTTGATCAGTGGATTTGATTAAAAAAATGAAATGTCAAGGCCTGCCTGACAAAAATGGTTTATTATGATATAAATAACAAAGAATTGCAGATATCCCTTTTCTTGTCTATCTTATGTTCCTTTTGTAATCTTTAGAAGAGACTCTCCATGTAACAGCCAGTCATAAATTATCAGTTTGAAAAAAACTTTACATTTGGAGAAGTACAGAAGAAATTACAATCAAGGAGTATGTCCCCTTCCAAATGCCCTTAATCCATTTCCTCAAAATGCTAAACCTTAAAACCACGTTAACGCAACAGAATCACTTTGTCCGCCATTTTCGCCCTCCCCAGACTCCTAGAAAGGCTCTGGAACCTGGGGAAAGAGAAAAACGGGCCTTCCCCACCACCCCACGAGGCTCTCTGGAGGCAAGAAACAGCCTGTTTCTCTATTTCTGGTGGGCCCAGAAGGTGTGAAAATCAGCTGGCTGGCACGCACATGCACACTGGAGCTGAGCTCACGTGCCCACTGAGATGGCTACGTGTGCCATAGGTTTGCCATCACGGGTATAGGGTTTCCTGCATGAGCGGGAGTGTTGGATTAGAAGACCTCCAAGGTACCTTCCAACTCTGTTATTCTAATGATCATATCCATCTATCATAATTTCATTTTTTTCTGTTTTAGGCAGAAAGTCCAAAAGGGGCTTCCAGGTCTCTGATCAAAGTTTTGCCATCTCAGCCAGTTCCAACAACTTTCACTATCCAGTCTTCCATTGTAGGTAATGTCAAATCTTTCCACCTTTGTGCATATAAATATTTTTCTGAAGAAACAAGGTACAATACCATGGGGGGGGGGGTTTCCAACTGTTTATCCATGAGTCCCCAAAGAAGTATCTCAGGTTTCTATTTTATATTGGTCTTTAAAATCTTCTGCATTAATTTGAATCCATTTTAAAGCTTTTTTACAGGTCCACCAAGCATGATAAAAAGACCCCCTCTTGTTCACATTTCCAGCTTACATTTAAAGTACCTTTACACATTTTAGATAATTTTTCCAATGACAAATATCACTGGTACATTTTTCATAAATATTATCTTTACAATTATAATGTGTGAATTTCAGCCCTTTTATCAATATATTCTCCCATTGATCCATCTGCATATTATATCCAAAGTTTTTACCCCATAAATATTATCTTTACAACTATAATGTGTGAATTTCAGCCCTTTTATCAATATATTCTCCCATTGTTCCATCTGCATATTATATCCAAAGTTTTTACCCCATTTTATCATGAGGGAGGGGGGGAAAAGAAGAAAAAACTGATTTAATTGGTATTAGGAAAATAAACCCTCAGAAGCAAAACATACACTTTACATATGGTATGTGTGTGTGTGTATATATATATATATATATATATATATATATATATATATATATATATATATATACACACACACACACACACACACACACACACACACACACACAGAGATGCAAAAAGGGAAGCAAAACAGAAGTAAAATTATTCTAATATGGGCATGATAATTTCACTGTAATAATTCAGTGTTTTTAAAAATGAATTATACATGATTTATAGAGAATGCTATTTTTACTCAGTCTTGCATGTTCTCGATACAAGCCTTGTCTGGTCTACTTTGTACCATTTTGTCATGAAGCTTTGTATTCCAGAATTCCAGGTGAAAAAGACTTAATCACTGAATAGAAAAAGATTAAAGAAGATAAATTTCCCTCCTGTTTATTACTGGAAGGCAGATTGTCCATTTACTTGATTTACATAATTTTTAAGGTAAATGTTTCACCAGTGTGGAATTGTGAGATGAACAGCTGCCATAAATAAAATAAAATAAAATAAAATATAAAATATAAAATAATATAAAATATAAAATATAAAATATAAAATAATATAAAATATAAAATATAAAATAAAAATATAAAATAAAATGTAAGCAAATGCTTATCACCTTGATTGCTAAGAACACTTTCTTTCCAAATGGGTAATTTGGATCCAGAAGATCTTCCTCTATGCATCTGAAAGATGTTTGCAATTCTGTGGTTTCTTAGGAATCTACCAAACATTCAAAAATTTACACACATACATACACATATATAAATTTAGTCTTAAAATCAGTATTTTTGGGGTGGCTTAAAAACTAGACAGAATCTTTCTGATAGGTATTGTACATTGTATTGGGAAACTAGGAAAAGAGTAAAGGTTCCATAAAGAATGAAAAATAAGTGTCTGGGATAAAAAATAAATTGTTTGGTAGTAATGCAGTAATGCAGTTGAGTTATTAAATTGGTCAAAATAAACTTAGTATGTACGGCATATTCATAGGACTTACATTAAAGGAACTAATCAGAATGGGAATAATTACAATTTTTATTCCAAAATAAAAATTTATAGATTTTTTAAAAATCTATTTATATTCCTAAAATGGATTTCTGTTCCAGAAGTATCATTGGGTGATTTTTATTTGGGGACTTTTATTTTTATTTTTATTAAGCTTCTTCTAAATTGCTGATCAGAAATCCCATGCCACTACTCCATTGCAAATAAAGTAATTAAACAAACGTACCCTTAATTTTGATACCAGCTATGCTTTTAAAATTCTGCAGCTCCCACTTTTCTTAAAATGCTCACGCTAGTCTCTTTCTGAAAAAGTAGTAAATAACAAAGGGATGTTCAGCTCTTTGAATTTTTAAAAATCTTGTTGTTTTTTTTTATAGCTGTAAAACCAGCAGTTCAGAACCCACTGAGACCATTAGGGTAGAAAATACTGTTCTAAATGATTATGCTCTCTACTCATGTCCTCCACAATTAGCAGCTAACAACCCGCAATTGTAACAGCAGAAGGTTATCTTGACAATGAAGATCTGTGCCCTTGAAGAAAGCAACCCTGCAGTGTGTTTTTCCTCCCCCCAAGTACAGCACCATTGTGTTATGTATAACTGTCTCGCATTAATTCTGCTGTATTTATTTCTTTTGGAGGACAGTATGGGGCTGTGACTTAACAATACAATGCAAGCATCAGATCTTTCAAGGGATAACAGGATGAAAAAAACCCTGCTTTTCCCTAGGACAGTGATGGCTAATCTTTTTGCTGTCACGTGCCAAAAGCGGGGGGTCGTGCGTGCATGTGCCCACACCCATAATTCAATGTGCCTCGCCCCTGTGCATGCACATGCCCCCCCTGCTCCTCCCGCTTTTGGCAAGTGATGGCACTGTGAGCCCGGTAGGCCTGTTTTTTGCCCTCCCTAGGCTCCAGAGGCTTTCTAGGAGCCTGGGGAGGGCGAAAACAGCCTCCTCCCCACCAGAGACCCTCCAGAGGCTGGAAATGGCCCGTTTCCCGACTTCTGGTGGGACCGGAAGGCCCGTTTTTTGCTCTCCCCAGGTTCCAGAGGCTTTCTAGGAGCCTGGAGAGGGCGGAAACAGCCTTCCCCACCCCTCTGGAGACCGTCCGGAGGCCAGAAACAGCCTATTTCCTAATTTCCGGTGGGCCCGAAAGGCCTGAAAATCAGCTGGCCGGCGCACACATGCACACTGGAGCTGAGCTAGGGCAATGCTTGTGCCATAGATTCGCCATCAGGCCCTAGGAGCTCGCTCTATTCATATAAATAAAAATTAAACTTCTCTCTCTCTCTCTCCCTCTCCCCCCCCCTCCCCCCCCCCCTCTCTCTTTCTTTTTAAACCCAGGCTTCTAATTGGAGTCCCAATGGTTCCTTTGTATCGGTCCCTGGGATTGGCTCTTCCCCAGTTAAGCAGGGCAACAAATATACGAAATTTCAGGTATTTATTTCATATTTATACCAGCTTTTCTCCAAAAGTGTTCCTGACAATTTATATTGTTGTTTTATTCTTGTCATTATCCTGCGAAGTAGATTGGATTGAGGAAAAAAGTGATTGTGGGTAGGAGGAGACTGGAAGGTGTCCCTTTTTACAGACTCTTCTCCAGGGATTTAACTCTGTACAGGTAGTCCTTGACTTAAAACAATTCATTTAGTGACTGTCCAAAGTTACAACGGCACTGGAAAAAGTGAGTAATGATTGTTTTTCAGAGTTACAACTGTTGCAGCATCCCCACAGTCACATGATCAAAATTCAGGCACTTGGCAACTGGCATGTATTTATGCAGTGTCCCGAAGTCATGTGATCAACTTTTGCAATCTTCTGACAAGCAAAGTTAATGGAGAGACCAGATTCACTTAACAACCGTGTTACTAACTTAACAACTGCAGTGATTCACTTAACAACTGTGGCAAGAAAAAACGTAAAATGACATAATATTTCCTTAACAGCTTATCTTAAATTTTGGGCTCAATTGTAGTCATAAATCAAGGACTACCTGTATTCGAGAGCTTGCTTAAAGCAGAAGCTTTCAGGCTGACTTCTTAACTGCCCATCTTCCTCACAGAACACACTTGCTTTTTGAAGTAGATGGTACTTTAATTTCTTTAATCAATGATCTGATGCAGTACGTCAGCTTTTATGTTCCAAAAGAATCATTAGATTTGGATAGATAGAGGTATGGGCCCTCCCCCTTTATCATTATGTTGCTACTCTACAAGTGTGCGGGAAATATTTCTGCAAAATACTTGACGTTCAAGAGGGAACAAAGACTCTTGAAGTTTGTGATTCATCCCTTGTGTAATGAATCACTGGTGGAGTGTGTGAAACCCTGAGTGAAAGGCTGGCTGTTCCTCAACTTTTGGAGTGATCCTTGAAAACTAAAAACTTGGAGGCCCTGAAGCCAGCTAAGTGTCTTCTGCACCAATGAGTATTTTGAAAGATGCAGTTCATAACAAACATTTTTTAGAACCAATAAGTCACCTAGAATATTCTTCAGAGTGAAAATATAAAAAGATTTGGTTCTGTTTTGTGTGGCTTTGTCGATTTGCCATCTTCATCTTCAAAGCCAGATCCAGAACACCAGAAGGTTCCATGCTGCTTGTGGTCTCACATCACACTAACTTATCTTTTGTTTGATTTTTGGCTTGGTGGGAACTGTGAATCCAAGAGTTACAGTGCATCAAACATGTTGTGTAGCCTAAGTGTGAATCGGGCTCCTAGGGCTTGCTTTACAAACTGTGACCAAAACAGATCATACCATTATGAGATGGGAAACTCAGCATTGACCAATTGACCTGAATCTGGCTTCTCCAGATTGCCATTTCTAGAATATCTAGCCAGCGTGATGCTTGGCTGAAGAAGTTTAATGGGAATAATCTTTGGTATAGATATATAGTAGAAATTGAGACTTCCAGGGAATCTTGGAAGTCTAAATTGTGGACCAACTTTCTTGGAACTTTAGTTTTGCAGTATTTTTCAGTACAGGTGGTCCTCAACTTAAAACCATTCGTTTAGTGGCCATTCAAAATTACAAGGCATTGAAAAATTGACTTAATGACCAGTTCTCATACTTACGACCCTTGCAGCATCCCTACAGTCCTGTGATCAAAAATGGGATGCTTGGCAACTGTATTTGATAGTTGCAGTGTCCTAGGGTCAAGTGATCACACTTTTGACAAGCAAAGTCAATGGGGAAGCTGGATTCACTTAACCACCGTGTTGCTAACTTAATGACCTCACTGATTCACTTAACAACTGTGGAAAGGAAGGTTGTAAAATGGCGCAAACTCACTTAGCTGTCTTAATTAGCGATGGAAAATTTTTGGCTTTATTGTGGTCATAAGTCAAGGACTACCTGCAGTGTACAATCACAATGAAACACCCTGTGATATATAATCAATGGAGCTGTGCAGCATCTTGGATCAGATAGAAAAAGATGCATCCACATGCTGGTAACACCTGAAACCAAATGCCTCTTTTTCTGGGATTACACTGCTGTAACAGAGAGCAGCCTCACCATCCCAGAAAAAAGACTCAGCTGCTTTGAGGAGTTGCTGACTGGGGCTTCATTGATGCTTCTTTGCACTTGGAAATAGCTGCTGCCCTTTGAATCCAAAGAGCTGCCCTTCGTGACCAGAGCTATGTTAAAAGATTCCTCACATAGCAATCATTCCAAGAGAAAAACAGAATGTATATATTTAAAACAGCAAATAATTATTCTAAAGTTTATTGGGATTAAAATGTGTGTCTTGCATAGCTAGAGATCTTTTTTAAAAAAATCAAGTGACTTAACTTTATAAAGAAAGTGTGCCATACATAGACTGATTTTAAGAGCCAGAACCTTGTTCTGTTAAAACTCAAAAAATATGTGTAACACTTTTTAATTATGGGTACAGCTATTTTTTTTAATTAGTCAATGAGTCTCACAGTTTGCCTTTTCTTTCATTATAAAAGTACAGTACTGACTATACAGTAAGTGTATTGCCTATTTAGAAGATGAGTCCCATTGCTTTTAGGTGGGGGTACTGCATGCTAAGTATTACATTAGGTAGGATTACAACTTGATTCTGTTGGCCAGATCCCCTCTGTGTAACTCTCTAACGCTAGCAAATGGGGATGGAGGTGGAGGTGGGGTGGGGGGTGTAGCAGAGTACAAGCCAGAAAAGCCTGCCAGATAAATATTTAATCAGTGTTAGGTTTCTGTGTAAGAATCAAGCTTCATAATGGAATGGATGCTTTCTTTCTCCATCTCTCACTCTCCACAAATATGTACAGGTAGTCCTCAACTTACAACCACAGTTGAGCTCAACATTCTGTTGCTAAATGAAGCATTTGTTAAATGGGAATTTTGCCCCTTTTTACAACCTTTCTTGCCACAGTTGTTAAGTGAATCACTGCAGTTGTTTAGTTAGTAAGTGTTGTTGAGGGAATCTGGCTTCCCCATTGACTTTACTTATCAGAAGGTCCCAAAAGGGGATCACATGACCCTGGGGACACTGCAACGGTTTTAAGTGTGAAAAACGGTCATAAATCACTTTTTTCAGTGCTTCTGTATCTTTGAATGGTCACTAAATGAACTGTTGCAATTTGAGGATTACCAGTATATGCACTGTTAAAATGGTAGCAAGTTTCTCTAACATCTTTTTTTATGTTTCCTTTCAGTCCCTCATTGCTGGTTTTAACTTTCTGGCACAATGTTGTTTTTAATTGTGAAGGAGATTACCATGATTTTGTATGCTCTGTTTTATCTCGGCTGTTCACCGCCTTGAGTCCTGCTGGAGAAGGGTGGTATAAAAATCAAATCAAATCAAATCAATCAATAAATGATACAGGTTTCCCAATTTACTGCCCTCCAAATATAACCCCCAGATTTCCCCAACCGTATGGCCTGCATTTGGAGGGCACAAGATTAGAGAGAAAAGAGAATCCTGTAGTTGAAATGGATCCTGAAGTGACTTTGGCTTACTTAATGTCCCCGGGAGATCTATTGAGACTTCTCTCTTCTCTTTTATCAGCCTCAGCAATGTGTGCAGTTATATCCAGAAGCTGACTCGTGTGCGAGTGGTTGATAACAGCACCTTGGGGAACACGCCGTATCACCGGCCTCCAAAATGTATCCACGTCTACACCAAAAACGGAGTGGGCAAAGTGGGTGACCGAATTCTTCTGGCTATCAAAGGGGAAAAGAAAAAGGCGTTAATTGTCGGATGCAAGTTTCCAGGGCCCCGCATGACTCCTCGGTTTGATTCTAACAACGTGGTGCTCATCGAAGATAATGGGAATCCAGTTGGGACACGGATCAAAGCTCCCATACCTTCTCTGCTGAGGAAAAAAAAAGAATTCTCCAAAGTGTTGGCCATCGCCACAGAGTTTGTATGACTACCCGGGAGGCCCTGCGTGACAAACAAGGGGATGTTTGTGGGACTGTCCCTTGAGTTGCATTTCTCTTTTCATTCCCAGAATTGAGGAAGAAGTGTTTGAAAAAAAGTAGGAAGAGGATGGCGAGGAGTGCTAAGACATCTTTGGGGGAAAATACACTTTCCATTATTTTGGGTAAACAGTTGTTCTTCTGAACTAGTTTAATTAAAGACGGAGTGTTAATTAAAGGCAGAGTATTTTGTATGATTTATGCTTTTGAAAGAGGTGGAAAAGGAGAAAGCAAAGGCTGGAAGCCTGAGAGGGCCATTCAGAGTGTCAAAATATTTGACCATAATCTGTTCTTTTCTATTAATCTCCACTTATTTTTGTGGGTTATTTCTTTCCCAGTTTTATTTTGTTAAAACATTCTGTGCATTGCTCAGATTCCAACCAGCAATAACTTTATAAGTAAATTCCAGCATGGTTTTATGCTATTGATAAAGGCAAATAAAAAGGAAATAAAGGTCATAAATAACATTACTATGTTACTATGCTTCCGAAATGGTTTTTCACAATTAAATCCTGATACCGTGTCCATCTTTCCAGCCTTCATAAATTATGAGGCCTTGGGATATTCAGGTTACCCATGTACCATTGGGTGGTTTCCAATTGCTCAGTCCTTTGTTTTTTTCTTTCTTTTTATCTGCAGTCTTTGCCATATTAACCCCGATTCTGTATTGCTAGCTGAATAAATTAGGGGCACTGAATATAAACTATGCAGATCTCATGAGTGGAATTGTGACCTTTGTGTTATTGATGAATAGCTTTTGACTTCTGAGAGTTACTGCTATGCAAAGCCTTTTATCACTGGCATTCTGTTTTACTTTGATGCAGAAAGTAAAGTAACCAGAATAATCATGGTAAACCTCTGGATTTCCACAACATGGAAGTGTAAATCTTTGGCTGTATCCCCACAATATTCACACTCTGGGTAGCTCCTCCAAAGGATTTTAGATGTGTGGACTGATATGGTAGAAAAAAATGTAAGCTAGTAGAAAAAATTGTAAGGGATTCAATATTTGAAAAGCAGAGTTAGCATGGCAAGAACAAGAATGAATGCCCTTGGTTTATTCCAGGGGTGGCTGAGGAATTCTGGGAGTTGAAGTCCACAAGTCTTAAAGTTGCCAAGGTTGCACACTCCTGGTTTATTCTGTGGGGAGCATGGAGGATTTTTTTTCTCATTGTGCCATCTTGTGGTGATTCATGTTTATGTGCTTCTGGCTTGATTTCAAGAATTTTGTTTGGTTGAGAAAAGCTTTCAGTACTGGATATATGTAAAGCGCTTTTTATTCCCTATTATTAACAAGGAACTTAAACAAGCAGTTGTGTTAAAGGAAAAAAGAGAGAAAAATCACTGAATTCTCTTTTTTTTACCTTTATTTATAAATTTTATTTATTTATAAAATGTATTGGCCGCCTATCTTACCATATGGTAACTCTGGGTGACTTACAATCATAAAAATATATCTATACTTGTACAATTAAAACATAAATTATTAAAATCAAGATTAAGACCTAAGGACAAATGGGGAAGGCGCAGGCAGAGGGGTGGGGGGGAGGTGGGATCTGTTGTTACTTGATCAACCACCTCCACTGTGCAGAGCCAGGTCTTTAGGCCTTAATGAAAATATAGGAGGCTTGGGGCCAACTTCACATCAGTGGGGCAAGATGTTCCAGAGGGCAGGAGCAACAGCAGAGAAGGCCCTCGTCCTAGATCCCACCAGCTGGAATAATCACGCTGACGGGACATGCAGCATGCCTCTTCTGCCTGCATGAGTGGGGTGGGCCAATCCCAGTGAGACGGTCCCTCAAATATCCTGGACCCATTCCATGAATGGCTTTACAGGTGATTGCCAACGCCTTGAATTGCATCTGGAAGCAGACCGGTAATCAATGCAGCTTGCTGACCAATGGTGTTACTGGGGCCATTCTAGCCCCCCCCCAAACTGCCCACACTACCACACTCTGCACAATTTGGCGATCAAATAACTACCTATTGCAGGTGACCCTTTTATTTGCTCCAGTAAAGTTGTCTCTTTTCAAGTCAGTTGCAGAGACTGACATGGTTCTCTGGAATTAATATACATCTTAAACCTATCTCAATGCATATTGTAAAGGAATACAGAGCAGACCCTAGGCAAGGCATGAATGAACCATTGTAGAAGGATTTATGAAAGAGATTGCACAGTCCAGAGATTGAAGGAAGCGTGAGAAAGAATTCATCATAACCCCTCCTTGATTTTCTGTTCTCTAGTATAAGAAGATATAAAACAAAACTTGGACAGTCTTTTAAAATATTTTATTACGTCCCACAACAATAGCATTCCTGGAATCCCTGTGGTGTCTGTTTTTTGACCAGCTCTTTTGATCTTGAAACTCCATGGATGTTTGTTGTTACTCTTACTAGTACATACCTTCCAGTTACAAGCTGTATGTATCTCATAAAAAGATAGAACAACTGTCCTGAGATCATACTACAGGATGGCTTGAAGAAAAACTAGGCCGTGTGCTAAAAACTGCAATACAACAATAGTGGAGAAGTCTGCCTATTTCACCCCCAACCCCCAGCCCCCAGGCTTAATTGTTGAAGCTACTACTGTAACTTCTGGATATCCTGATTCTTCTCAATGAATTCTAAAATTGTGATTTAAAATGCAGCCCCAGTTGAAGTTAGGCATTCTCATCCTGTAGCTTGAAAGTCAATTTCACTGAATTTGGCAGCACTTCTTGAAAAGATATACGTAGGATTTTGCTGTTCAAGTTATCTTTTTTTAACAAGTTTCAATTTAATTTAGGGACAGCATAACATATTGGGTCTAGGAAAACATCAGGGCTATTGCTCTAAAGGTCAAAGACTTCGTTTAAAAGGACTACTGATAATTCTATCCCTGCAGTTTTTTTGACAGTATTATGTACGTGGCTTGTCATTGCCTTGTTTGGGGATTATGTTCTTGGTTTTTCTGAGTCCAGTCAACATTACTAGAATTCCCAGGACATTTCTCATCATCTGACCAGAGATGAACCTGTTTAGCTTCTGAGATCAGCCATGGATGACTCAATGGCTCCACTTGCTGAGGCATACCATCATGTGGCATCTGTACTTATTCATAAGGGATTTGAATTCTCGCTCCCTCCTTGTTTTAAAAGATACATGAAAAAATACAGAATCATCATAAAATAGCATGGCTATATATGAGTTTTCCATTTTTCTCAACGTTGAAAACACTTTCCCGTGACCAAACTTTATTCAAGTCAATAAACTTTACTTCAGAGGAAAAAGATCCTGGCTTGCATTGTGGTTCTCTGTATTGTGAACATGGAACTCCACAACATTTACAGATCTGAACAAGGAACCATAGTTTCCTATGGTAGGAAAATACATGGAATGAAATTCAACCCATAGAGGCAGTCTTTGGCTTACAGCCATTTGTTTAACAACAGTTTGAAGTTATGGCACTGAAAAAAAATTAATATGAGCCATCTTTGAAGTTATGACTATTACATTATCCTCCCCGTGATCACGTTATTGTAATTCAACCCATAGAGGCAGTCTTTGGCTTACAGCCATTTGTTTAACAACAGTTTGAAGTTATGGCACTGAAAAAAAAAGACTTATGAGTCATCCTTGAAGTTACGACTATTACATTATCCTCCCCGTGATCACGTTATTGTAATTCAGGCACTTGGCAAGGAGTTTGCATTTATGACGGTTGCAGCATTCTATGGCCACATGATTTGTGTCCTTTCCAAATGGGGAGTAGCAATGTGATGCCTCACTTAATGACTGTGTGGCTTAATGATGAATTTTCTGTTCCCACTTGTGGTTGAGGATTACCTGTACTGATTGAGAGAAATATCACAGATTGTTTATTATCCTTTGCAATTGGTTTACAGATAGTCCTCGACTTTCAACAGTTTATTTAGTAACCGTTCAAAGTTACAACAGCACTGAAAAATGTGACTTATGATTGTTTTTCACAGTTATGACCTTTACAGCGTCCTCATGATCACGTGATAAAAATTCAGATGCTTGGCAACTGGCTCATATTTATGACCATTGCTGTGTCCCAGGGTCATGTGGTCACCTTTTGCAACCAGGCTCAAGGTTGACTCAGCCTTCCATCCTTTCTAAGGTAGGTAAAATGAGGACCCAGATTGTGGGGGCAATAAGCTGACTTTGTATAAATATACAAAAGTATGAAAGCTATTGCTTAACTCATTGTAAGCCTCCCTGAGTCTCCGGAGAAGGGCGGCATATAAATCATTTAAAAAAAAAAAAAAAAAACCTTTTGACAAGCAAAGTCAATGGGAAAGTAAGATTCAATTAACAACTGTGTTAATACTTTAACAAGTGCAGTGATTCACTTAACAAATGTGGCAAGAAAAGTCGTAAAATGGGGCAAAACTCACTTAACAAATTTCTCAGCAACATAAATGTTGGGCTCAATTGTAGCCGTAAGTCGGGGACCACTTCTATATATATTGAGTGTGTCAGTACACAGCATGTACCTTCTAGTACAGTGTTTCTCAACCTTGGTAGCTTGAAGACGGGTGGACAGCTAGCTGCTAGCTGGGGGATTCTGGGAGTTGAAATCCACCCATCTTCAAGCTTCCAAGGTTGAGAAACACTGTTCTAGTAGGTAAGATATAATTGATGGCTTGCAAGACAATCTTTTCTGTGTAGTAAAGATTTTAACCCGCATAAAATTGCAATAACTATGCAATTTGAAATGTAACAGAGAAAATGGTAAAAAGTTAAATTCACAAATGAAATAATATATAATATATGAAATAATAATACTAAGACAAAGGGGAAATATGTAACAAAGTTGAATAGTGATAAGAGCTTGTGATATGTGTGGAGCTGATATCTTTAGAGAAGTGAAGGAGCAGGTTTTATTTCGAAGGAAGGAGCTAATGTGTGTCAGAAAGTCTGAACTTGATATTATCTAAATTTCTGGAACTGTGTTTGAAAGTAGGAATTCATAGCTTGATGATAGCGACTTGTAACATTCCAGTGAACAATGATAATCACAGTGACCAAATTTACTGGGGGGAAAAAAATAAAGGGCAAGGCTAAAAAAGAGGAAAGTCTGAAAGAGTTTCATAATGATAAAAAAACAACAACACAGCTCTTTAGGTTTAAATCTTTACTTTACAAAGGAAAATTCAAGAGCAAATCCAAGAAAGTAAGAAAATAATCCAGGGGACAGCTTTCTGAAATAAAAGACTGTCCGTTAGGATTATTTTAGCTGTGTATTGCCCAGAGTCACTCTGTGAGTGAGAAGGGTAGTATCTTTAATTTGACAAATAAATAATAAGGATGCACTCACTGTATATGGCCACTGTGATGATAATGGAAGAACCAGGTTTCATTTTGAGGAAAGAGCCTTGGTGGCGCGGCAGATTAAAGTGCTGTTAAGTAGCACCAGCTGCCAGCAATTACTGCAAGTTCAAATCTCACCAGGCTCAAGGTTGACTCAGCCTTCCATCCTTTCGAGGTAGGTAAAATGAGGACCCAGTTTGTGGGGTCAATAAGCTTACTTTGAATAAAAAAGAACACTGCTTGGGGGGCCCGAAAGCCCTACTAAGCAGGTATATACAAAAGTACGAAGGCTATTGCTTAATGCATTATAAGCCACCCTGAGTCTCCGGAGAAGGGCGGCATACAAATCGAACCAATAAATAAATAAAATAAATAAAATTGCAACATATG